GAAAGAAAGAAAGAAAAATGTACCTAAGTAAAGTGCACCTTAGTAAAGTTGTCTTCATGTTGTGTATGTTCTTTGGCCCATTAGGGTGGTTTTCAGTGTCTGTATATGAATATATTATAATTAACTTTCTAAAAAAGAAAAAAAGAAAAACGTGTCCCTTATAAAGTGAATTATGTGTGAGGTGACCTAACCCTCTTGATACACTGAAACAGCAGCAGTAGGCCTAGTGTTTCTGTGAATTTCATAAATTCTTGGCTTTGAAGAACACTTGAAGAAAAAGATATTCTCAGCCTTTCTATTGGTTAGTAATGCAATAACAGGAAATAGAAGGGCTTGTAAGAAAAAAAAAATCCCTATTAGCTTAGAAATGCTTAATATGCACTTGATTAGCACAGCTTTTCCCCATATCCTTGAACCCAGAGTTCCCACACAAGTTCTCAGAAAGCTGGAGCACGCTGCATGGGGCTTCTGAGCCATGGCTTCTGTCAATGCCATCGGTCCACACGAGGCGGCCAGAACTTAGACCACGCTCCCAGTTATGCCCAGCTAATGCCCCTGCACGTCATTTCCCATAGCCCCCAGAAACTGACACTAGTAAATAGTAAGTGCAGAAAGATGTTCAATGTGATAAGAACTTCAAAAAATTATTAGAATTGTATATAATATATATAGCAATAATTACTAATAATCAAATCACATATTTCATAAGAAATTTAAACAAATGTATGAATTAAAATATAATCAAGGAAACTGAACAGAAAACTATCTAATTTTTATTTTGATGAATTAATGTAATAGTAAAACTTTGTCTACTGGTGTTTCTTAAACTCTTACTTGCCAACATAATCAAGGTAGTATAAAGTTTTAAAATAATTTTTGAATATTTTTCTCAATCAAATGAACATTGTTCTAATACCATTAGTTTATTTAAATATTAAACAATAATAATGACATGTACCTGTTGGTGTCTAAATGGGAATTTAGAGAGCTATATCTTATATAATAAATAATATGGAGTTATTTTTCTAAGTTTCACTATTGGATACTCTACTATAAGGACTTTTAAGTACTTTTATGTAAATATTTTAACACACAGTTTTTAGAATAAGTAGTCATTATTTTTAATAGAAATGCAAATTCTGTCCAGTAAATGAAATTCACATAGACTCTGACCTATTGTGAGCTCTGCCGGCCACCACAGGACTCACCTTGTCTTTCCTTTGCTTTTCATCCTGGTACACTCTCCAGTGTTCCCCATCATCGCTGTAGGCCAGTTTGTAAGACCCAACAAACTGGACATGACCAAAATCTTTAGCTCCTTGTGTGATTATGCCAGTCACTTTGGTAGGGACAAGCAGATCCACCTAGAAGGAGGGATGCACATAATGTAAATGCAGCAATGAAATTAACACAAATTTATAAATTTCTTAAGCTGGAGAGATTAAATACCAAATATGCAAAACTCAAAATCTTCCTGGTTATTTACACAAATATTTTGAACCAGAAGGCTGTGCGGTGGGCATATTTACCATTGGGTAAATATAGTCTTAAGATTCCTTTAGCAGCTATTTGGACCATTTTTAAAGTAAAATTATGCTCACTTCAGTACACCAATTCACTTTATATTAAACTGACTCCTCCATCTTCATATTTTTGGCATAACAGATGTGTCAGGACTGGCAGGACTGAATTAGAGATTGATTATGATCTCTCAGAATTTATGCTTATAATTCAATTTACTGACATTGCTGATCAATTCAATAACAATAAAAGTAAATGCTTCTATGAATTTTAATCAGTTCAAGAATACATGATTAAGCAATGCCAATGACTCCCAGTGAAAAATCCCCTTCTACAAAGCTGTACTCCCAAACAGCCTTGAAGATAATGCCAAGTGCTCTTTAAAAATGGAAGAGGACTAAAAGTATGCTTTTGTGACTTGTAAGATCTGTGCTTGTAATGTGTTCGTTTTGGCAGAATATGCACTTTCAGGCCACGAGACCAGTGGGAACTTAGGAGCCATCGAAATCATCAGAAGTAATTAATGCACACAAGATGAGAAGAACATGTATCTAGAATAGATCAATGATTTACCTCTGTGTTTTTAAAATTTGGACTTATACATCTTACAATTCTAACTTAAGAAATAAATCTAAGAGCCTGTGTTTTCCACGTGAACACCTCTTACAAGGACTTAACATTTGGCTTTATTTGTGCATCTTGATCTATAGCTTCCTCCTCCTACACAAACACCCGCCTGCCTCCACCCATTTCCTGTGCCTACAAGGCTGGCTTCACCCCTGAACTTATCATCTTTGACCATCACCATCCCATGAATGACCTCGGGGCTTTCAGCCACTGTGCCCTTTTGTTTCTACTTCAGGACCCCTGGTCTGCCGACGCAAATAGACATGCTGGGTGAAAAGCAGGCCGCGAATGAGAAGCGCTCTGGGGACGGTGAGCAGAAAGGGCACAGCTAGCCGTGGACACCCCTCAGTAAAGGAATGGAAAAAAATTTCCATTGTGTTAAGGCTTGTGAATGCATATATTGTTAATTCACTTGGATTTTTCCTTACGTTTGTAGAACATGTATTAAAGACATCAAATTGGAAAATGGACTCAGTGAGAGTTTTACCATTAATGTTTTACTAAAATATTTCAGAAAATACGTTATTCTGATGTTCCAAATGTGTATTATTATGTCATCTAAAATACCTTGCATGTTGAATAATGGCAAAAGATCACAAAAATATATTCTAAGCAGGAAATAGTAGGTTATGTTGTTTGTGTGTGTGTGTGTGTGTATGTGTGTGTGTGTGTGAAAGCCTTCTTTAATCTTTTCAATCACCACTGACAGTAAGGTGCTATCTCCATACCACACATCAGGAAAGAGACCTAAGTAACACGAGTTACTTACATAAACCGAAGTAACATCCACGGTGTGGTCAAAAGATAAAGTCAATAAGAGACAGTGCCAGGCTTTAACCTTCGTGTTTCTGATTCAAAGATCCCATAAGGAATCCCACTTTCCTTCAGTGCTTTTCCTCCTGGTCAATGAGATTACAGCGGAACTTTCTGAAGAGGCATAGTACTTATCACACTGACAGCAAGTCTAAGACAATCAAAAGCAACCTTGGATTTACAGTACCAAGAGAGCCCTGTGTTGTACGAATTTCCTCTTTGTTCTTCAGCTGTCTGGGCTTAAAGATATAGATCACTTTTCATATCCTAAATCCAAATCTAATTGCTCAGAGACACTCAGGCAAAGCTGCTGTTCTTCAAAGTCTTCTTCCCATTCTGAGGTTCAAAAAGTGGTAGAAAACAAATCAGAAATTAATCTGTCACAGAACAGTGAAGCGCTGTGTCACCCTCATGGCTGCCAACACACAGGAACTCTGTCTCTCCAAGGTCAGAAATGCCACTGAGGTGACATCTTCAGTCCTGAGTCCCTGGAGCCCTCAGCTCAGGAGATGCAGAGAGGACTCCTGGAGCACCACTCTGAGCAGCTCTTACAGTCAGCCGAGTATCCTGCCAGGGGGGATGCTTTGCTCTCTTGTATGTCCTGGCTCTTTCTAACAGACAGAATGTTCTCCCACTCTACCTGCTCTCTTGCTCTATTTTTTAAAAACCTAAAACTCTTCTTCTTTTTGTTCTAGGGAAGCCAGCTTCTCTACATCAACAGCAGTCTGTTTCAAGCTGGATTTTTTCCTACAATTTGCTGCATTCAACTTAGTTTACCAGGTTGAAGCAATGCTTCTTTCAATATAAAAATAATCAGCAGCTCACGGGTACAATGAGGTTGCAACACAGGGCTGCACGGCACTCATCCGGGGATGCATCAGGACTGCAGGAGCTGGCGTTCAGCATGCAGAGCGTTCGCAGGGAAGTGCATTGCTCAGACTGGTGCTTTCCGTGTGGACAGCCACCATGCTTTCTTACGGAAATCCTTGGCTAAACTTGAACTGCAAACAGCCTAAACTAAACATTTTCTGCTACCTACTCCCTCACATCCCACAGCTGGGTGCCCACAGAACAAGTGTTCTGAGTGCTGGGCTGCCTCAGGGACAGATGTCTGGCTTCGTGTCTCACACTCGGTGTCTCCAGCTGCACAAAACTTACCTCGTAGGTGACACTGCCTCAGTGAACTTTACTGTGTCGCCCTAGAGCTACTTCCGCCTCAGTGTGCTCCCCGGGCATGAAGCAAGCCAAGTAGGAGAGTGCCACGGTAAAGCACGACAGATTGTCCCAGCGGCCTCTCTGTAGATTTATGTGCGAGACATCACTGGTCGAGAAATCAGGGCACTGCCAGTATAGTAACACGTTTATGCTTGCAAAGGAATCTAGTTAAAATTTCTCTCCTGTTTTCAGGAATTAGATCGCAAGCGTCAGAGTATCCCAAAGGGCTGAATAAATCCTGAACAAGCTCCTGACCCTCGCTAAGGCTCACTTTCCTCTTCTGACTAATAGTCTTTATAGCATTATCTTTTGAGAAAATGAAAGTGTTGATTAAATGTGCACAAAAGTATATGGAATACAGTAAGTGCTACCCAAGAAGACCTTGATAACCAGGTAAAATAAATAACACAGAGGAAGGCCCAGGAGTCTGAGAAAACCTTGCTAGAATACAGAAAGGGAGAAATCTGTGGAAGTACTGCTTTGGAGGAAACGTCTGGATTTTACTGTATCTTTATCTTAATTTCAGGATGTATACAAAGATACTCACTTAACTTTTACTCAAATCAAGGAAAATAAGAACCAACTGAAATGCCCATTTGAGTGAAACAGTTAACAAAATTAATATAAACAACTTTCTGACATTTTGCATTCTTAACTAAATATTGATTGTACAATACATTGTTCCAAGAAAGTAGCAAAAGGGAAATAAAACTGCAGATTAGACTGAGTGACTTATCTCACCCTAATAAGAATGCAAACAGGAGAGGAGAGAGGAGGGATATTTACAGAATGAGGCATAAGCGAGACAAAAATATCACTTGAGGGTTAGTTAGCATTATAGCTTTGGGTTGTAAAAGAATGTAATATTCTGTTTGTAAAGTGTAAATATGGTTAGAGCATGGCAAGCACAAAACAGTGGTGGAGAACATCTGCAAGCATTTGTTCAGGCAAGGTCAGGAGAGGCCGTGAGTCCAGCATCTGCCTGGAACAGGACAGCGGTTCACAGGAAGAGTGAGGGCTGGAGAGCACCCTGAGTTCCTTTCTTAGTTCCTTCCTTCCTTCCTTCCTTCCTTCCTTCCTTCCTTCCTTCCTTCCTTCCTTCCTTTTTTGGTGGTACCAAGGACCGAACTCAGGACCTTGTGCTTGCCAGGCAAGCACTTATACCACTGATCTATCTCCCCAGCCAGCGTCCTGACTTTCATGGAGACATTCTTGAAAGGAGAAGATGAAAGCGATTCCCATAGTGAGGTTTGCAAGAGACGCAGACAAAACCAAAGAAATCTATCGCTACTGCACAAAAGTGCCCCACATCTGAAATGTCACTACAATTGAAATGTTCTAGTTTTTGCATGTGATTTAGTTTATGCATTTTATTTACAAAGTTCACATAATAACATAATTACATATTTTATTATCTAGCTTATATAGTTTGTCAGTTAGATTATATAACTTACAACTTCCTGAAGTTTTCTAAAGTCAACTCATTCAACAGGGACAACATAATCATTTGCTATAGTCATCCCTTGATGTCTATAGGGAATTGGATTCCACATCCCCTGTAGACTCTAAAGTTAGAAGCTAAGATCCCCTAATAAAATAACATTGGCATCTGACCTATATCCATATTCTTGCATATATTTTAAATCATCTCTCGATATTTATAACACCTATACAGCCTAAGGGCTATGTAAACAGGAGCTATACAATAAAGAACAGTGATTAAAAGGTCTGTAGTTTTAGGAAAAAGTATTTCAACCTACAATATTTTGGAACGATGAATGTTCCACTCACAGGCCCAGAAACATAACTGTTTTCAGAAATTGAGTTATAGGCCCAGGGAGATGGCTTAGCAGAATAAGCGCTTCCCTGGCAAGTGCAAGGGCCTGAGTTCAACCCCTGGTTCTGCCCCACCCCCCCAAAAAAAAAAAAGAAAAAGAAATTGAGTTATAGGAAAAAAATGTTTAGATAATGTTTTGTTTTCAATATTTTTTCAACCTTAACATTATAAGAAATAATTGTATACAACTACATTTAAGAAAATAAAAAACCCCTATTCTCGGCTTCTGAACACTGTTGTTGGCTATCACGTGTTTAGCCCATCTGTCGTCTGTGCGTGCAGCCCCTACAGCTAGCAGCAGCTAATGAGGAAGCACTACGTAACCTCTGCCTCCGAGTTGAACTGGTAACT